TTGGATTGTGACGTCGTCCATATGTGCGCCCCAACCTTCGCCTGATGCGTCTGTATATAGGTGGTGTAACGGTGGGGGTGAACATGAGAGGGATGCCTGGCATAACGAGAGCACTCTGAATCTTTTCTATAGCTCTCAGATATCTGTCCTCTGGAGGTTGTAAAATGCCTTGTGAAAGTTGAAAACCTCGCCCCTATGTACACGATGTCTTGGGTTGGTATTAATTCTGACTTGACAGGATGTACCAGGGAACCCAGGTGAGATAGAAGTTGGATCAAAAATATTGCGTTCTGCTTTGTCTGCAATAGATCTTGATCGGCTGAGAGGAAATCGTCTATATAGCCGTGGAATCTTACAAGATTTAGATGAGCGAAGCCGATGATGGGGGTGATAATCTGAGTAAAAAGCCATGGTGCTTTTGATATTCCGAATGGAAGCATGTTGAATTCGAACCTTTGACCGTTATTTTGCAAAGCGTAGGTAGGGTCGACAACTCGGGTGAATAGGTACATGCAGGTAGGCATCCTGTAGGTCCAGACTGACTAGCCAATCTCCTAGTTTGAGGGAATTTCGTAACTTCTTTACTGATTCCATTTTAAACTTTGATGGACGTACTAGGTAGTCTCTGTTGAGTACCTTTAGGTCTATTATCATGCGCATCTTTGTAGAGTTCTTTTTGGGGACCAGAAAAACTAGAGAGTAAAACCCTTTTGTAGTATCTGCCTTTTGTAAGATGTTGATGGCCCCTTTGTCTAATAGTTCTTGTATTGCCAGAGTTGCGGCCGCTAACTTGGTCCCTACTAGATAAAAACGTTGTCCTTTGGGGTGGAGTACAAGCTCCGGATGCTGTTGGAAATGGAGTTTGTACCCTCTTTTTACCACTTCGATCAGCCAAGGGTCGTCCGTAATTGACTTCCAATTTTTGGCATATAGTGACTGGTCCCGCGGTAGGCGTTAAGGTGAACGTGGGTTACAGGTAATGGAGGTCCGTTAACATTGCAAGGTGGACAGGGTTTGGCTGAGAGATTTTTGGGTGTAGAGAGTCACGAACGGCGGTTACCTCTACCTCTGGTATAGGATAGACCACGACCTCTGCTACTTGGGACTCATGTCTCCCTCGGCTTGGTCTGGAACGGGATGAGTTTTTCCAAGTGGAGGCACGAAAAGACTCACGTCCTGACATAACACGGATCTGTGTGCCTCTGGGTGTTGGCTGACCGCTTTTCATTAAGCTTAGATGCCAATGATATAGTGGAGTTTTGGAATCTGATTAGTGGTGCGTGAAATTTCATCGATCACAGAGGTTAGTCTGCCGTTGAAGAACTGGGGCGCCAATATCGACTGAGACATCAAACTTCGTCTTAGTGGATTTGAAATATTGTGTCTAACCTGTTGAATAAGATGATTCCGTTGAATAAGCAGGAATTGTGTGGACATCCATACCTGTACAGATTGCAGATCTTCGTGCATCTTAAGTATGTTATCCAGCGCACTATGAAAGAAAACCAACTTGTTCCAAATTTCATCTCAACTTTTGTGTCACAAGGTTGGCCAGTAAATTCCTCACAGTTAACAGGGTGAAGTACATGTCTGATGCCTGCTGCAAACCAGTTCATATATGTGCTAAAATTTAACATCTGCTTGTTAACACTGTCAAAATCTCTGAATTTGCTCATCTCAACATTCATCCTGGTATTAAGGTGTCTGACCAGTTCAAAATATTCATCATCAATGGTAGGAGATGTGAGGAATAGGCATGCTAAAGGCTCTACTGGTAGAGGCATTTAAATCCGCATTCATTTTTGTGACCACATTTTCAGTGAAAGATGGATATGGAAAAGTATGAAAACCTTCCCTCTTTTCAACAGGATTTTCATAACCAGCCCTTTCAATAAGCACCGGATCCTCTGCCTTGCTTGGGGGCTTTACAGATGGGATCAATTGATGGATTTCATAGATATCTCTAAACGAGTAGTCGTTTGGTTTGAACGTGAGCGTACTATTCATATCCCCCTGAGAAGCGTACGTACAATATTTAGAAGGGCCAGTAATATCCTCTCAGTCGTACCCCCCCTGGCTCTTGCCACTGGGGTGAAACGGCATCACGCGGTGTATGGCTATCTCTCTGCTGTGATTTCTGGCTCGAGCTGCACGAGGATTTTGCTGTATAACTAGTATAGCTAGGTGATGCATAACTGTCAGAGCTATAGACGTGATTCTCGCGTGTGACTGTAGCTGAAGGAGCACGCTTTGTATAATAGGAACCCTTAGCACGATTTTCCTCACTGTAGGGCGTGAAAGATTGATATGTCCGCCTGGAAGAATGGTGTATATTTCTGTGAGATTCTTGTGCTACATGTTTCTTTTCCCAAGTAGCACGGGATGAGATAGTGCTATCGTGACTTCTTTCCCTAGATACAACGTGTCTTTTGTCCTGTGAACTTTCTGACCTGTGACGATGTAAATAAGACTTTAGTTTGCTATCTGAATCATGTGACCTAGATCTTGTCGTATTTTTCAGATCTGCATGTTGTTTTAGTTTATTTATATCCTGTGATATCGCTTGGAAACGTTTGTCAAACATTTCGGACATGGATGTTGTCAGCGATTAAGGCCATTCAGTCATACTCAAGGGGGAGAACGGAATAGATTTGGGCTCCAATGTTTCTTTAAACCCATGAGTGACCAAACTACCCGTAGCACCCGGGCATAAGGCTGCAGTCCCAAGACCAGAGCTGGATGCCTGCTCCTTAGTTTTGGGCGGGTGGGTTGAGCAACGTGATTTTCCCTCAAAAGCAAAAAAACGGGTTCTCTTTATTCATCACCTATTTTGAGCCAGTGTGTTTCTCTAGGGAAGTCAATTTACCTGAGACACAACACTTTTCCACATTTGATTTAGATTTAGTTTTGGTTTTGGGAGAGAATGATGCATATTTTTTGTCCGATGATCTTGTCTTCCTCCTTGGATTTTGATTTGGGACAATTTAAGGCTTTATAAAGCTTGTCAAATTTTTCTTTTGACAAGTCCTTGCAGTACGTGCATCGTGTACGTGCTCTTTCTACAAGTACTACATCTAGGGTGAGGGTCCCCGATCGCCTGATCAATTCCACACCCCGAGCAGACTCCCTATGACGGGAGTGGGGAGGCATCCATACCCCACACTACGTAAACTAAATCTACCTACTTACGTCAACGATCTTGCTTCTTATACCACCGTTTCAGCAATCTTGACTGATGAAGGTCGTCTGCTGCAAAACTTGACGATCGTAGATTGTCTGCTATATCCAATGATGATCATTGGTTGACTATTGTAATCTTTTTAGATTTATACTAGCTGTGAATTATTAACCGAAAAACGTGTTTGGATTGATGAGCAAAAAGTTTGCTTGTTGATCCAACACACGGGAAAGAAGTGATGTTTTCCCGCCTTGCGCATGCGCAGATGCAGTTTGACAAGGGATAGGGTTTACCTCAAGACTATGGGATAATTGGCAGTGAAGAGGACGTCTGTCGAAAAATCTAAAGATTTTATAGTGTGATTATTGCCAAAATGGGAATTTGTGGCTATGATGTTACAGAGGTAGGATATTCGCAGGAATTATCAGCTGTCTGTCTTTCATAGTCGCTTCCTGCCAGCTTGTAGGAAACATGTTTCTTCTTTTCACAACTGCATTGAGCAAGATATCCACATACTCTGTAAATACTACATTGAAGGTATTAAATGACATTTTATAACACCTTTTCAGTATTATTGTTTTTGCAATCATAATAACAACTTTGGCTGTAAATAACTTGGCACTTTTATAATATACCAAGTATTGCATTTGTCTGAACAAATGTTAAGGGTAAAAAATAGATGAGGATGAAAAGTAATTGTCTTTTGTTGATACATTAGGTAGAAAAATAATACAGGAAACGGAGAAATGTGATCTATCCAACTGGAGTGCACCAGTTCAACACAAGTCAGCCATTGTTGAAAAGGAAGGAAGCATGAGCGACATAAGACAGTTATGACTGCTTGTTTGTATTATAATAACCATGTGTTGGTCCCTTGTTTACTGGCTTGGCCACGGAGGATGTCCCCTTCTTGGCCTTGGGGTAGCTGATTGTCCACCTGGGCTCTCCAGCCTTCAGATAGTTGCAGAAACCAGTACCTAATCTGAATAAACTGATAAATTTGTTTTCCCTTTCAGAAAGTGGGTTCATACATGAATTTACTGTCAGATATCTCACGCCACCATGATGTTTGCACAAGAGGTTAAAAAATAACATGTTATAGCAATGTTTAAACATTTCTTTTTTATTTATCATACCTTGCCTCCAAAGGTGGTTAGAAGAAGTGATGTGACTTTGGTGCAAAGTGGTTTACCACATTGTGGAAAACTTCATGTGAATAGGTCTGATAGAGAGGGGACAATTTAGGAACTTTCTTCACTGCCTTGTAAGCACAGCTTCCTAAAAATAATGACAAATTTAGGAATTGTGCCAATATTTAAAAATTGTATAAAAACAACACAAATATTTTTCAAGTTTAACATGAACTTTCATATTTATTCACTCACATCAATATTGTCTGCTAAGCAGCATTTTCTGTATATGACCAATTAGACTGTTCCTTTTGAGGACAAATGTTTTAGAAAGCACTTATCTTACATCTCATTACCTGGCTTTATCAGATCTCCCTCTTGATCAATTGGTCCATGTGGGCATTCTGTGTACAGCTTTCCTTGGTGTGAGTGGATGTTGGAGACATGGTTGGTAACAGATTGCCACTTCTCCAGCATGTACTGTGCCTCTCCCCCACCAGCAGCCACCCAGTACATGTGATTAGAGATGGACTTGATCCACGGTCTTATCACATCACAGTCCTTCTTTGCTGCTGCTTCCAGTTCCTTTTGTACTCCTGACAAAAGCAAATAACTTCAGCAAACCGTACAGTGATGACGCCACAACAAAGAAGTACTTCTTATCAACTGGATGGGGTTTTTCATTAAAGCTGACAGTGTGGCACTGATCCTCGTGTTTTTCATCTGAAGTGAAGAGAAGGAAAAATATAAATACTAAAGTACTTTTAATATAAGATTAAGTTAGGAGTTATAAATGATTATGTGTTGAATTGAACATAAACTGTCTATCTGTACAAATCCATGTTGTGACATATTTGACATTTAATCATGAATTACCTGACAGATTGTTGTCAGGGAAATAATCTGGATCAGACATGTGGTTTTCTCAGCCTTATCTTCCTCAATGGCCATGTCATCTTCGAACATCCCCTTGTACAGGACACTCTGTACAGCCATGGGCTTGGTCACTGGTCTTGCCTGAATGCATCTTGTGATTCTTCTGACAGGTGATCTCTGGTGATGTCCGGTATCGAGTGACCATTCCTGTCAGCGGAAAGGAGAGAGTCAGGTGTTTGTGATGTCCAGGTATCATTGCAGTAATAGAAACTAAACAGCTTTTAAAGTCTAAAACTGATGTACCGAGCCAATGCGTGCAGCGTGCACACTGGAGAGGTCGAAAAGGTTTACTCCGGACATGTGGAAACGTCTGGCATCTTGTGGCCATGACCTGCTGGGCAACTGGAACAGTTGTGAAGCTCCATGGTAGAGGCATCTGCCCGGATCTGATCCAGGTTGTTGGCGCTCAGAGGATCCAGTCCTACGGCCTCACAAGCCTGAAGAATAATGTCACAAAGCCATAGGGCAATCGTATTGTGGCTGTCTTCCACCTAATTTGTCATAGATACCAGGATCTATCCAGCTGTCCAGGGAGTTGAGTTGATTGCTACATTTGCATTTAGGCCACGCCCCCTTCAAATAGCGTATTTGAGTATTTTTTTAAACGAAAGATTATTTAAAAACAAGACAGATAATATAATCACGAATACTAAATTGTTGATAGCAATAGTTATTTGAATATTGTACTTAATTATTGACCATAAAAAAATATGATATCGATCGTCACAGAAAGCAAAATGGCGGTCAATCAAGATGCAATACACGACTAGCTACTGAAAACAATAAAATCTGCAAATCCTCATTGTATGTCAACCAAGTGAAAGTCGTTAGCCACGACTTATAAATTGATCGTCCAGACTTTGAGGGTTTGGCAGATCCGCTCGACTGATCTGCATCGGTCGACTGGCTGTCATCACACTTTCGCTTCTTGTCTGAGGTTACGTATCGTAGCATTGTGAGGATAATGAGGTACATCGATGATGCAAGGTATTTATGTACAGTTGTAAACACCTTTCACTCATATTAACAAGATGTTCTCAGTAATTAATCCTCGATTAATCAGTGTCAACTCAGTTTATTGCCTATTACAGTGATTGACCGATTGGACTATCATGTAGGTACGATGTATTTACAGCAATCAAAACAAACAAAGCTTGTCGGTGTAGATAATCTTTGTGTTACAACTGCAGACAGAAACTGCTCAGTCCTAACTGTTGATAATGTCCGGTAAAAATTTAAGAATGTCGGACAATACTTTTTAAAATGTCCGGTAAGCAATATTTTAAACCGGACATTTGAGATTCAAAATCGGACATGTCCGGCGCATATGACGGTTTCAGGACCCCTGCCTTCGACTCTATCGTCCACCAGCTGAAACGACTCCAGAGGTGGGGGTACAGCAACAGATAGGCCATGTAAGTCACCAGGAGCTGTTGGATTGGATGCAAGTGTAGTCAACCTAAGCCCGCCCATTTCAGGAGAGTCTCTGATCGTGTCGTGCCATGACGATACGTCGAAAATTGTGTTTGCCAGCAAACCCATGTAGACGAAAAAAAACAGCTCCTCAACCGTTCGCTGAGGCATCGACATATAGGGTAGGTCGAAGCTGCATCCAGTAGATAAGGCTGAAAATATGAAAAACTTATGAAAACACAGTTTGAAGTAAGGTGATCATTTCCATCCCCTGGTAGTCATACAGGCACTCCTGCACATCTCATTACTCCGCTGTGTAGTCATCGGAGGTCGACAGAGCGGTCGTGAGAAGAATTATAAATTCAATGATGGATCACGTAGATCAGACTGAATGTATAAAATTCCTTGGTCTGAAGGATCGTACCGTACAAAGTTAGGTGATCGTATCCATCCCCTGGGCGTCGTATAAGCGCTCCTGTTCTTATGTCGAGGGAGGATGAGGTATGGTATCTCGTTACTGCGTGTGTAGGCATCAGATGTCTTCTATAGTTAGTGACTCCGCCACATTGATGTACAGCGAGCTGTGGTCCAGTGGTAGCAGCATTACATACAAGTAAGCAAGTAAACCAATCTGTACAAATACATCAATGGCTAATTACTATCGGAGATATTTACAGTCAGAGAGGTTTGGACATGTGACATGTAAATCACCCTGCACAGTAAACTGGAATCCTGCATAGTCGAAGACGAGGTTCAGGCAAGCCCTGTGAACCCTGTGGTTGACAGACAAGTGGTGTTTGAGTTTTGTGTAAAATGTGTGACATGACCGGTGTAGGGGCAAGTGGATCACCATGATAAGTGTGAAGTCTGGTCCTGTGTGGTGAACGATAATCACTAGGTGGGTACCCGGAAGCATATGACGATTCTGTCAAATGTTGAATCGGTCATGAAGTTGTGATATTAATATTTGGGTGCAGATCATGTCTACCAGAAGCCACAGGAAGACTTTTCTTCAAGAGTACTGTTGCCCTCTCCGTGGAATCGTTCAGCCAATGTTGATTAGACAGGGAGAATTGCAGCAACTTTCACTGTTCCCTCACAATGAGGCCAGATGCTGCCAAGGGCATGAGGAAAACGTTGTATGAAAGCCAATCACTTATCCAGCAAGGATTGTTGCCCTGGGGGATCCAATCTGTTGGTCTCATAAGCTCGTGGAATGAGAGTACGTAACCACAAGGAGATCATGTTACTGCTTACTTCTGCGAGGTCATCCCGGGTGTGTGCTGTGTGTGTGCTGTGTCCGTCATCTCCAAAGCATGGATGGGGACATTGTCATTCCTCAACCATGGAACCTTGAACACCAACAAAAGTGATATCGCAAATTCTTCATCCTTCAGCATCAGATCCCGGGAAATGGGGGTAGGCTTGGACCAATAGTGTCATTGATTGACACCTGGGCCGGGGTCTGCTGGAACATGGACTGTATCATCTGCAACAAGGAGGGATCCACATAGGGGAGCCTGGATGAGCTGTTTAGACACCAGCTGGAAGGACGGGGTCCACATCCTGGAGAGAAAAGAGATGGCGCTGGCCCTGATGAAGGCTGGATCGCTTGCAGGAAGGCCGGGTTGTTGGTGCCAAGGGTGTTCATGGAATCCCGGAGGTGCAGAGAGCAACATCAGCGGCGTGTAACTGCTCAGGAGCGAAGGTCTGAATCCCAGAGGCACAACCGTGAAACTGCTCGTAAGCGCTGGCATGGGCGCTGATGACACATGATATGCTTGCATGAAAGCTGATCCAAGGTTGGCACCAGTGCATGGGTGGTCATAGAATTCGGGAGGCACCAAGAGCGACTGCATTGTAGCTGTTCTGGAGCGAAGGTCCAAATCCCAGAGGCGCCATCGTGAAGCTGCTCAGAAGCCCTGGCGCAGGCGCTGATGACAAGTGGTATGCATGCAGGAAAGTCAATTTATGAGTCGTTAGTGAAAAGGGTGGCACCAGTGCAGGGGTATTCATAGAATCCCAGTGTCATGTAGCTGTTCAGGTGCAAAGGTCTGAACCCCAGTGGTGCCAGCGACTCTGTTAAGCGGCTCAGGAATTTCTTATGATATTCAGAGTTTGAAATTCTGTTTGTATTTTGTAATGACTGGCTTTAACTAATTTGAATCTCCTTGTGTTCCTTGTCATACCAAGTTGATGTTTCCATCATAATCTTTAATTTGTTTCCTATTTAAAACAACAAACAAACAAATAAGTGTAGCTGCTCAGGTGCGAAGGTCCAAATCCCGGAGGCGCCATCATGAAGCTGCTCAGAAGCCCTGGCACCGGTGCTGATGACAGGTGGTATGCTTGCGGGAAAGCCGATCTCTGAGTCTTTAGCCCCAAGGGTAGTGCCAAGGATAGCGCCAGCGCCTGGGTGGACATCTTCGTGTTGATAGGCGTAGTCGTCAGTCTAATCAACGATGATTGGGGTAGATATCAATGTTGATAGAAGAGACGCAGGGAAGACCTTCTTAGAGGGGTAGACGCTGGTAGGGGCTTCCAACCCTAAGAAGATGAAGTAGCCGTGGCTACTGGAGATGTTGTGGTCGCAGAGGAGTAAGACATCTTCATATTAGAATGTCTACAAGCTTGCTGCGAACTGCGTTTCTGAGAGACCCTCAGGTATTTGAGAAGGCTGTGGGAGAATAGGTATGCAAAAGCTACATTTGTAGCTGTCGAACATAATATTATATCAGAGCAGTCCAGCCTCAAAGGGTGGGGCACGGAGAACCACATGACATAAATCTGCAATGAAGCAGAAGGTGTAATCACAATGCGTTCCCACCATGATTGTGTGTGTAAGTAATATTCTAAATCCCTAAATCCCTGGGATAAGATTATGCATAAAAGGTGAATAAAACACTTTAATAACCATTGGGAAGCACAGGTACAACAAAGTATAAGATGTACCAAGCAACACAAAGAATACAAAACACATGATACAAAAAACATGACCACAATGTGAATTCAAACTGGCTTATTGGAACAACAAGACGCCTGAAACTTACCATGTATATACCAATATATGGAATATTAGAATAAATTACTTACATGACATCTGACACTCAAAATGGTGTTTTCCACTAGCAAGTGATAGTGACGTGTGATGTTGACATGTCCCGCTGAATATCGGGATGGGACTGTCCACAATCTTGTGCTGCTTTGAAACTATCATGGGCTTTTTTCAGATCCTAAAACCGGAAAATAATTAATTTTGAGTTTAGGATTTTACATAAATTATACAAATCATAACAATTATGACAATTCTTTTTAAAAACCAAGTAGCCTTGCGACTAGTGCATGTAGTACGAATGCCCAATCTCTAATGAATGACAAGCCTACTGCCAAAACCTACAACTTGCCTGAAAACCGTGACATAAAAACAAAATACAGTGAAATTAATCTATGGTAAATGAAAACTGTGAAAGATACAAGCGACCAGGTAATATCATACAACTTGATATTGTCAATCAAGTTTAAATCTACTTCACTCACTTCTATTTGTTCTCCATCGTGGCTTCTGAAAAGACCCCCTCTCGGTGAACCTGGCATTGTTAGTGACCATAGTCTTGATCTTGCCGTCGATAGCTTAAAAAGCTTGGGTTTAGATTTCGTGTAGCCATACTGTGCCATGAACTCTGGACCCCTTTCATAATTCTTCTTTGTGAAATGTAATGTACAAAACGTGTTGTATTTGCTTATGTTTTTTACTTAACATCAGCACGTCGACAATACACCAGCCATAGCTCTCTTTTGGGCAGATCGCGGGGAAATCCAGGAAATGAAGACCAGAAGTCTTCATAGCACTGGAAGTGTACCGATTGCAAGACAATACAGCATATTGTCGCTACAACTCAATTCAAAATTCATTTTGCATCACTTTCCAGTCAATAGCCTCGCGTAAACACGAATGATCAACACATAGCAGACTGGCTGGTATGACATCACAGCCACAGAAGGCTGACCGCTTAAATGAAAAATATGCATACGAGTGGGCGGGGCCAAAGTGTTCTAGGTTTGGGAGCATAATTATAATTATAACGAATTGTTTTCAAAAATCAATGAAGCAGATTTGATATAATTTCATGTTTGAATGGCAGTATGTAAGAAAAATGCTCAGTTAGTGTCATTTTTAATAATCCTTTAAATTCCTTGTAATGAACAAATACAAATCACATTATTGTCCTACACGTCTTCTTAAAGTTTCACCTTTCTTAGTCTAATGCTTCAAGTTTCTTATGATATTCAGAGTTTGAACATCTCTTTGTATTTTGAAATGACTGGCATGAACTTATATGAATCTCCTTGTATTACTACACATCATATCAAGTTTAGGGTTCCAACATTTGTCAGTATGAAAAGAAGATTCTAATTTAAAAAAACAAACAATCATATAATACCATGAAAAATATCCGTCCCATCTTGATGTTAGCTGTCTTCCTTGCCTTTGAAGCACATTTCTTTAATGTGTTGGGAAAAGAAGCTGAAAGTTAACAAACAAGAGACAAGGACAACCTGAGGTCCTGGTGAGCTGCAAGCTCAACACAAGAAACTCCAGCCAAACCTTCAGGCAGCTGCTGCCCGGAGGCTGCTTCATACTCTGGACATCTGCATCACCTGTACATATACATAGGGAATGCTCACAAATGTGCAGAGTCAACACAAACATTGCCTGCAGGACAGCTTATCTCAACTTGATGTTGACACTTACCAATGCAATTCCTCATCCCAGCAGAGAAGGGCACATACGAGTAGGGGTGGCGATTCTTGATATTCTCGGGGAGGAACCTGTCAGGGTTGAAGACCTCGGGGTCAGGGAAGTACAGGGGGTCACGGTGGAGGGCAGAGGTCAACAGCACCACAGAAGTATGTTTAGGGATGACAAGGCCCCCTGAAGTAGGACTTGACAGTATGTATGTTGTGCCTCATCAGCTTCTATTGTCATTATTACATCAACACTACCACAGACATCATTACATCTTTGGTGTTCACTGTGTTTCTAAATCAACACAAAATGCAAAAGAGTAATGTCAATATTTTCAAGAAATATCTTCCCTATTTTCCTAACTTATTGAAACATTTTGCAAAATACCTATGCTACAAACTAGGCAACAAATATGTATCATTCTCATACCTATATCAGCATCATCAGTAAGAGTGCGAGCAAAGGACGGCACAGATGGGTAGAGTCTCAGAGCTTCCTGAAATAAAACATCAAATAATAGTTATCATTGTTAATAATTCAAATAATATTACTTCTATGACATCAGAGCCTGAAATCCTGCATTTGGCTATCATCACACCAATCAAATATTCAGAGTTTTTAATAGTAGTCTTCTTCACTGTCGACTATTCATAACTTTTTGAGATATTAATAGTATCTCCCCTCTTGCGTACGCCTGCCAACTTGTCCTCACTTAATTCAATCATCAGTAGAAGAGATGATTATAATTGGGGACGTGGGTGGGATTAATCCTGATATGATAGAGGTAGTATTTTTTTAATTATTAATAATTATATTGTTTGATAAGTTTTATGATTAGAGAACTTCTATTACATCTGTGCCAGCAAATATCCAAAGGATCAGTGGTTTGTCACATCTAGTAATACTCTGGAGAGTTGACAATCTACTGAATTTAAAAGGAATTTTACCAACTTTGACCTTTTTCCTTCAAATCCAGAATTTATGGGGTACTTATTGTTCCAAACAAAACCCTACTAGTTGTTTGATCAATATTAGGTGTACATACCTCAAAGGGCCTGTTTTCAAAGGACACAAGCAAATATGAGTTAAACTTCCATACAACTACCATTATCGGCCGACCTGTTATGTACTTTGGATCAAAATAATAACAGAAGAGAATGGTTGGATACAAAAAGGCCACATGTGGAAAGCGGGCAGGGGTGCTAGACTGAGCAAAGGGACATAACTCCCAACAGCAGCAGCGAAAAACCATGTGCTCTCTACTGTACAGCAGATGAGCTATATGCACTTGTGTCCAGCCACGGAAGCAGGAGGGCTGGAATGGGCTCCCACTGTACAAGCAGGCAACCGAGCATACGAGCGAAACCTAATTGGTCCAGCGCCTGTCTAAACCTTGCCACACCTAACGGGATTTATTATCAGACACTAATCAGCCACAACAATAGCAACATTCATAATGTTTTACGTTTTAGCTGCATTGTACATGAAGGTGCAACAAGAGCGAAGGAAGGGAGTTTGGGTCATTGTTATGTAAGCATAATCACGTACTGTAGCAGTTACAAGATGGCGAAGTGAGTGTTTTTGAAATGACGTAATATATATGAATTTGTTTGGCAACAAGGCCACATGTTATTGTAGTGGTTGTTGCATATCATAAAGTGAAGGGGGTTAAATTATTACAGTGTCACAGAGTGTATAATATTATTAACTTAGTGTGACTATGTAAAGTTGAATGTGGGTGTGTGTATGAATGGATGAGTGTCTGCCTATGTGTACATGTGGATATAAGCGAATACATAATGTACATAGGATACTTTGATAAGCATGGAATTAAGATTAATATTATAAGTTAAGGTAGATTTATCAGGTGGGACAAAAGTACCATTTCGCTAAATATTGCTAAATGACATAATATTTGCATCCTATTTCCCAATTGTGATGTCATCAATTGACCCTAAGCAACCAACACAGTATGACCTCACTTCCAGATCTGATGACAGCCCTTCCAGAGGCCTTGATATCATTCCCTCAAATTGTGACCAGGATCACTTGCGTTAACCTATGACCTGTCCTGCATGTAGTTGACAATTTGTTTCCCCGGCTCTTGCTGCAAGGGGGTACCAAGGCAAGGTTGGGGAAACTACCTGACTGAGGCTGATATCACCTGTAAGTTTCAGGAAGGACATGGGGGAAAATTTTCTTGTCATGCCATTGACAATTGTAGACCACCTATTACACAAGTACTGATTTGCAAGAAGCAAGACTAGTACACAAAGCCCTGATTTCCTGATTGGCCGACAGGAACTCGTTGATATATCCTTGGAGACACAGTAGTTGAAAACTGATGCAAAGGCATATGCAGGTTGCCTCCTGGAGGCTGATCATCAAATCCCCAGTCCTGAGTGAAGGGCAAAATTTACATACTGATTCTATCTGGTATCTCGGTGGTCATAACAAATATTCCTTGTTTAAAACTTTCAGATCTATGATAATGCAAATATCTGTGGTGTTCTTCTTGGGTGCAAGGAAGACTGGAGAATAGAGGCCTTGGCTGGGATCCTCCAGTTACCGTATGGCACACTTGTCTATTATACCAAGAATCCGTGTGGATTTGTGAGCGCTGAAGTTTGTCTTTCCCGTAGGCACCTCTGTTGGTCTGATAGTATTCTTTTCCCAATGGTACAAACTCCTTTCTGGAGGAGTCATGAAAAAGATTATCCCTGGATGATTCCAGACAATGTGTCTTGACCTACTAGGTGGAGTGTCAAAACCAATCTGTGCATCCTGATGCACTTCTCCTGTACCTTGTTGGGTCTGTCAATAAACAAATGCAGCGCTGTGATAGGTTGGCTCATGACCTTCCTTCTGGTTTGCTCTGAACCGGACATAGTTCAAACTTGGGAGAGAAGATGTTGTCTCTGCAACAATGAGGTCTGGGTATCAACCCGACCTGGTCTTTACAGATGTAAACTGGTGTGTCTCCTGGTATCCCATTGTCAGAATCCTCCAGTGGTTGGTTGAGGTCAGACAAGCGTATCGGCAAGCCCATGTCAGGAGACTTGACCAGTTTGTAGAAGTCCAAATTGGAAGGAACAGGTAAAGATCAATCACGATTGTGGTACATTCAGCATTGCAATGGAGGAAATGGCAGCTTCTAGTCACTTCTCAATTTCCCGATGCAATCATTAACCTGGTTGATAACCATTGCTCTATAACTCGGCCACAGGAGAGTGAAGTGCTTCCATCTGGATGTGGTGGGCTAATGGCACCCCATATACTCCAACTTCTGCCAAACAACAACCTCCTCCACAGGTGGCTTGAGGTCTGACACAAGATAATAAAATTCCTCAATCAACTCCGAAAACAAGTGTCCTGGTTCGTAGTCAAATGATAAAAGTGAATCGGATAATTCCAGAAAAGACGAGCCATCTAAATTTCTGGTCTGGATTTAAGCCTTAGTAACCATCCCCTAATGCACTGGGTAACACATAGGATCCATCCCTGAGTATCAATCCGAATTGTTGACAGTTGGCAAACCTGTGTGCAAAGCCATCCATCCTGCTGTCCTCCTGTCCTCCACCTTACCGTGTCACTAGCTGAACAGAAAGAGGACCAAAGACTGACGTAATCATGCTATCTCTGCTGGTAACTGTGGCAGTAATAGTCCACTTCTTTGTGCTCCGTGTTGGTGAGCATTGTGTCCACTGTATTAATCTCTTTCAAGTTCAGTAGGACATTGTGGGCAACAGCTCCAAGCACTGTCTTCCAAGCTCAAGCTGGCCCATTTTTCCCAAGATCAGCAATCCTGAAGAATCTTGGAGAGAGAATCACACTGGGAGCATCTACCGCCCTCAGTAGATCTCGTAAATCGGCACTGAAGGAGGTGATGTAATCTTGTTTCACCTAGCAACCAATTCTAAGGTAAACTAATCCTTTTCAAATATAACACAGATGAAAATCACTATCTTGTCTTCTTGTAAACAACATAACTGAAGACATTATAGTGTGAAAACGACCAGATAATGTGGTAAGACAACTTGGCAAGTTACTCCTATTATAACACATCTGGCTATAAAAGCGTTCATTGTGTATCTGGACATTGGTCTGTAATCCATATACTTTTTTCCAAGATTTCATTCAATTTTGTTTAGATTAATTTCAACAAAATCGTGTATGATCTGATGGGCAAATCCCCTGATCACATCAACTCACTATGAACTCGCCTAGAAATGAACATTAGGCGTTAGAGATACAAAGTCTTCGGTCTTCCTATCATTTCCTAGGAAATTTCTTTTCAGTAATGATAATGGCCAATACAGTAAGTATTTTCAAACTAAATCAAACATAGATCAGGGGAAAATGTGTCAACAGCTGATTGGTATTTCCAGCTTATTTTACAAGACAAATACACATGTAATCTTAATCTCCGCATATGAAACATTATCCGGCATACAGTACACAAAGACCATGGAATTTGTAACTCATCATGTTTAGTGATGTTTTATCGTAAATTTTATGTTTTCATTGACCAAATTTGCAAACGGCAAAACAAGCACACAAACTCCTATTGCCGCGATGACCATAACGATATGTGCAGTAAAGAAGTGAGCATCAAAGGGAAGTAACTGCACTCTATATTGGATTGTGCTGTTTTGAAGTATTGTAGCATTTCACTCCCGGGTTCGTGTGTTCAAGACACAGAATATTTAAGGATTTTTGTTATTTACTTAAAATGGCAATAAAATACACATAAGCACACAGTCTATGTTTCCTCCTCACCTTGATGCAAGACTCCAGGTACTTGAGATCCTTCAGGTTCTCCATCGTGGCAGGCTCCTCACTGTCACCTGTGGTGTAACAGAACAGCTATTTCTACAGATTCCTATTTCACAGCCAGGTAAAGGATGCCAAGTGTGAACTTTATGGGTGAAAAGAGAAAATCCATTGCACGGTCTGATAAACCATTGTCTAATTTGACAGACATGTTTAAATTTTGACAGATATGAGCCAAGTCATCTTGGATTGCTTGTTTCCATTCCATGGCTAGATCTATGTTTCAGTATTGATATGAGCAGAAACATGAAAATAGATGAATACAAAAGCAATGTTAGTGATTATCTTATCTAAGCTCAAGAATAAAAACATGATCAATCTGAAAACGGGTTTGTTTGGTGTCACTATGATAAACCATGCCTTAGGCATTTTACATGAAGCTGGTCGTAGAATTGTGAATGAATGAAAAGCAGTGCCGTCATAACTTCTCAGCCAAACATATTACATAATTCAAAATTAAACCAATCATAAGGTCCTAGATCCTTACAGTTAAGTTCTCGTGGCCATGTGGTTTACATTTTTACAACTTTTCAAAAACAAAAGAATTTAATATAGTCATGAAAAAATCTGAGTCCCAATGTTAATGTATCATTCGTGTCATGTCATATGTTAATGTCATGTCAGGCTCATCCCGAACGTCTGGCTGACATGAAAGACTTCCTGCCATGCAGTAAACTCACCTTCATCTTCTTCTTGGAGGTGGCAATTCCAAGTGAACTAATAAACCAGTAGTTAATGATCAGGTTTCAACTGTAGTATATCCTCCCAACTCAGCTGCAAAGCATGGCAATTCTTACCAAACACTGAGTCTAATTCCTCATGTAGTTTCTGCTGTATCCTCGTGTTGGAACTGATGAGGAACACTGCCCAGTTCATGGCTGCAGCAGTTGTATCATGACCCTGAAGAATCAACATACATGCTCTTGCTACATACATAATTGTACAAAATATTCATCTATAATTAGTTCATTCTCTGTCATCATCAGATGCCTGCTCATGTCCCCCCCAATCTGTCATCATCAGACAGCAACTCATATCACCCCCATCTGTCATCATCACATCATCAGACACCAGCTCATGTCCCCCCCATCTGTCATCATCAGACATCTGCCCATGTCCCCCATCTGTCATCATCACATCATCAGACACCTGCTCATGTCCCCACCCCATCTGTCATCATCAGACATCTGCCCATGTCCCCCATCTGTCATCATCACATCATCAGACATCTGCTCATGTCCCCCCCCCCCCCATCTGTCATCACCACATCATCAGACATCTGCTCATGCCCCCCCCCCCCCCCCCATCTGTCATCATCAGACATCTGCTCATGCCCCCCCCCCCCCCCCCCCCCCATCTGTCATCATCAGACATCTGCCCATGGCCCCCATCTGTCATCATTAGACATCTGCCCATGTCCCCCATCTGTCATCATTAGACATCTGCTCATGCCCCCCCCCCCCCCCCAATCTGTCATCATTAGACATCTCCTCATGTCCCCCCCCCCATCTGTCATCATCAGACATCTGCCAATGTCCCCCATCTGTCATCATCACATCATCAGACACCAGCTCATATCCCCCCCCCCCATCTGTCATCATCACATCATCAGGCACCAGCTCATGTCCCCCCCATCTGTCATCATCACATCATCAGACACCAGCTCATGTCCCCCCCATCTGTCATCATCACATCATCAGACACCAGCTCATGTCCCCCCCATCTGTCATCATCACATCATCAGACACCAGCTCATGTCCCCCCCTCATCTGTCATCATCAGACACCAGCTCATGTCCCCCCCATCTGTCATCATCACATCATCAGACACCAGCTCATGTCCCCCCCATCTGTCATCATCAGACATCTGCCCATGTCCCCCATCTGTCATAATCAGACACCAGCTCATGTCCCCCCCAATCTGTCATCATTAGACATCTCCTCATGTCCCCCCCCCCCCCATCTGTCATCATCAGACATCTGCCAATGTCCCCCATCTGTCATCATCACATCATCAGACACCAGCTCATATCCCCCCCCCCCCCCCATCTGTCATCATCACATCATCAGGCACCAGCTCATGTCCCCCCCATCTGTCATCATCACATCATCAGACACCAGCTCATGTCCCCCCCATCTGTCATCATCACATCATCAGACACCAGCTCATGTCCCCCCCATCTGTCATCATCACATCATCAGACACCAGCTCATGTCCCCCCCTCATCTGTCATCATCAGACACCAGCTCATGTCCCCCCCATCTGTCATCATCACATCATCAGACACCAGCTCATGTCCCCCCCCATCTGTCATCATCAGACATCTGCCCATGTCCCCCATCTGTCATCATCAGACACCAGCTCATGTCCCCCCCATCTGTCATCATCACAACATCAGACATCTGCTCATGTCCCCCCCTCCCCCCATCTGTCATCATCAGTCATCTGCCCATGTCCCCTATCTGTCATCATCAGACATCTGCTCATGTCCCCCATCTGTCATCATCATACACCAGCTGATGTCCCCCCCCCCATCTGTCATCATTAGACACCTGCTCATGTCCCCATCTGTCATCATCAGACACCAGCTCATGTCCCCCCCATCTGTCATCATCACATCATCAGACACCAGCTCATGTCCCCCCCCCCCACATCTGTCATCATCAGACATCTGCCCATGTCCCCCATCTGTCATCATCACATCATCAGACACCTGCTCATGTCCCCCCCCCCCCCCAATCTGTCATCATAAGACACCTGCTCATGTCTCCAATCTGTCATCATCAGACACCTGCTCATGTCCCCCATCTGTCATCATCAGACACCTGCTCATGTCCCCCATCTGTCATCATCAGACACCTGCTCATGTCCCCCATCTGTCATCATCAGACACCTGCTCATGTCCCCCATCTGTCATCTGCTCATCAGACACCTGTTCATGTCCCCCCCCCCCATCTGTCATCATCAGACACCTGCTCATGTCCCCCATCTGTCATCATCAGACACCAGCTCATGTCCCCCATCTGTCATCATCAGACACCTGCTCATGTCCCCCATCTGTCATCATCAGATGGGCCGGTATAGGACATTGGTGGTAGTGATGGGCCGGTGTAGGACATTGGTGGTAGTGATGGGCCGTTACAGGACATTAATGTCAGTGATGGGCCGGTGTAGGACATTGGTAGTAGTGATAGACCGGTGTAGGACATAATGTCAGTGATGGGACTGTATAGGACTGACATTATGTCCTACACCGGTCTATCACTACTACCAATGTCCTACACCGGCCCATATATATATGTCCTATACCGGTCTATCACTACTACCAATGTCCTACACCGGCCCATCACAACCACCAATGTCTTACACCGGCCCATCACTACCACCAATGTCCTATACCGGCCCATCACTACCTCCAATGTCCTATACAGTCCCATCAATGACATTATGTCCTACACCGGCCTATCACTGACATTAATGTCCTGTACCAGCCTATCAATGACCTATGAAAACCTATGACACCCACTCACCTCAAACATAAATGTGTCCACTTCTTCCCTGATGTCGTCATCAGACAGAATGGCTCCATCATCAGACATGTGCAGCAGCATGTCCATGAAGGCCAGGCGTTTCTTCCTGCCCACAACCTCCTCCTCCTCCCGACTGACCGCTCCAGTCTCCCTCCTGGAGGACAACTCCTGCTTCTTCTCCAAGATCACCTGAAGACAGATTCACAGTGACAGACAAACTCGAAACTTGCAGGGTTGTAAAAGCATCTACAAAACATCAAGAGATACTGACAAACATTTTTATCACATATACAAATATATTGAAACTTTAACCAAGAAAAAGTTAAAATATGACGGTGATACCAATCTGTCCCACCATTATGATCAATATCCAAAACAATGTGTAACAGTCTATCCCTCATAATTATCCTCTTTGTCCTAAACCAGTCTCTTCCCACTAGTATCACAACGGTCCTAGATCGGCCCCCTGGCTACCATCATTATCCTTTTCCCCACACAAGACATTTCACAATAACAACCAGTGTCAGTGTGCTATACCAGTCTGTCACTCTCAACAATGTCCTATACATTCCTGTCACTGTCATCAATGTCCTATACCAGTGAGTGAGTGGGTGAGTTAACGCCACTTTTAACAGTATTCCAGTTATATCGCGGCGTGTCAGCTTAATGTGGGTGGAAAGCCTGAAATGATGCAGGTCTTGACGTTTACCACTTCGGTGAAAACCATGAGCACGGGTATGGTGCTGACAAACCTAGAAACATACTCGTGGCGAACCGGGATTCGAACCCACCATCATAGGTTTCTGGCGTGCCCAAGGGACACAACTCTGCACAGCGAATCGCGGCGCCTTAGACAACTGGGCCACCAGTGCCCTATACCAGCCTGTCACTGTCATCAATGCCCAAAACCAGCCTGTCACTGTCATCAATGCCCTACACAAGCCTGTCACTGTCATCAATGCCCTATACAAGCCTGTCACTGTCATCAATGCCCTATACCAATCTGTCACTATCATCAATGCCCTATACCAGCCTGTCACTATCATCAATGCCCTATACCAGCCTGTCACTATCATCAATGCCCTATACAAGCCTGTCACTGTCATCAATATTATATACCAGCCTGTCACTGTCATCAATGCCCTATACAGCCTGTCAATGTCATCAATGCCTTATACCAGCCTGTCACTGTCATTAATGCCCTATACCAGCCTGTCACTCATCAATGCTCTATACCAGCCTGTCACTGTCACCAATACCCTATACCAGTCTGTCACTGTCATCAATGCCCTACTCCAGCCTGTCACTGTCATCAATGTCCTATACAGCCTGTCACTGTCATCAATGCCCTATACCAGCCTGTCACTGTCATCAATGCCCTATACCAACCTGTCACTATCATCAATGCCCTATACCAGCCTGTCACTCATCAATGCTCTATACCAGCCAGTCACTGTCATCAATGCTCTATACCAGCTTGTCACTGTCATCAATGCCCTATACCAGCCTGTCACTTTCATCAATGTCTTCTACCAGCCTGTGACTGTCAACAATGTCCTATACATTTCTGTCACTGTCATCAATGCCCTACACAAGCCTGTCACTGTCACCAATGCCCTATACCAGCCTGTCACTGTAATCAATGTCCTTTATCAGCCTGTCACTGTCATCAATGCCCTATACCAGCCTGTCACTGTCATCAATGCCCTATACAGCATGTCACTATCATCAATGCCCTACACCAGCCTGTCACTATCATCAATGTCCAATACAGCCTGTCACTGTCATCAATGTCCTATACAGCCTGTCACTGTCATCAATGTCCTATACAGCATGTCACTATCATCAATGCCCTACACCAGCCTGTCACTATCATCAATGTCCAATACAGCCTGTCACTGTCATCAATGTCCTATACAGCATGTCACTATCACCAATGCCCCATACAGCATGTCACTGTCATCAATGTCCTATACAGCATGTCACTGTAATCAATGCCCTATACAGCCTGTCACTCATCAATGCCCTATACAGCCTGTCACTCATCAGTCTCTATACCAGCCTGTCACTGTCATCAATGCTCTATACCAGCATGTCACTCATCAATGCCCTATACAGCATGTCACTGTCATCAATGTCCTATAACAGCCTGTCACTTTCATCAATGTCTTCTACCAGCCTGTGACTGTCAACAATGTCCTATACATTTCTGTCACTGTCATCAATGCTCTATACAAGCCTGTCACTGTCACCAATGCCCTATACCAGCCTGTCACTGTAATCAATGTCCTTTATCAGCCTGTCACTGTCATCAATGCCCTATACCAGCCTGTCACTGTCATCAATGCCCTATACAGCATGTCACTATCATCAATGCCCTACACCAGCCTGTCACTATCATCAATGTCCAATACAGCCTGTCACTGTCATCAATGTCCTATACAGCATGTCACTATCATCAATGCCCTATACCAGCCTGTCACTCATCAATGCTCTATACCAGCCTGTCACTGTCATCAATGCTCTATACCAGCCTGTCACTCATCAATGCCCTATACCAGCCTGTCACTTTCATCAATGTCTTCTACCAGCCTGTGACTGTCAACAATGTCCTATACATTTCTGTCACTGTCATCAATACCCTACACAAGCCTGTCACTGTCACCAATGCCCTATACCAGCCTGTCACTGTAATCAATGTCCTTTATCAGCCTGTCACTGTCATCAATGCCCTATACCAGCCTGTCACTGTCATCAATGCCCTATACAGCATGTCACTATCATCAATGCCCTACACCAGCCTGTCACTATCATCAATGTCCAATACAGCCTGTCACTGTCATCAATGTCCTATACAGCCTGTCACTGTCATCAATGTCCTATACAGCATGTCACTATCATCAATGCCCCATACAGCATGTCACTGTCATCAATGTCCTATACAGCATGTCACTGTAATCAATGCCCTATACCAGCCTGTCACTCATCAATGCCCTATACAGCCTGTCACTCATCAGTCTCTACACCAGCATGTCACTGTCATCAATGCCCTATAACAGCCTGTCACTTTCATCAATGTCTTCTACCAGCCTGTGACTGTCAACAATGTCCTTTACATTTCTGTCACTGTCATCAATGCTCTATACAAGCCTGTCACTGTCATCAATGCCCTATACCAGCCTGTCATTGTCATCAATGTCCTTTATCAGCCTGTCACTGTCATCAATGCCCTATACCAGCCTGTCACTATCATCAATGCCCTATACCAGCCTGTCACTGTCATCAATGCCCTATACAAGCCTGTCACTGTCATCAATGCCCTATACCAGCCTGTCACTGTCATCAATGCCCTATACAGCCTGTCACTGTCATCAATGCCCTATACCAGCCTGTCACTGTCATCAATGCCCTATACAAGACTGTCACTTTCATCAATGTCCTTTATCAGCCTGTCACTGTCATCAATGCCCTATACAAGCCTGTCGCTATCACCAATGCCCTATACCAGCCTGTCACTGTCATCAATGCCCTATACAAGCCTGTCACTGTCATCAATTCCCTATACCAGCCTGTCACTGTCATCAGTGCCCTATACAAGCCTGTCACTTTCATCAATGTCATCTACAGCCTGTCATTTTCATCAATGTCCTATACAGCCTGTCACTGTCATCAATGCCCCATACAGCATGTCACTGTCATCAATGTCCTATACAGCATGTCACTGTCATCAATGTCCCATACAGCATGTCACTATCATCAATGCCCCATACAGCATGTCACTGTCATCAATGTCCTATACAGCATGTCACTATCATCAATATCTTATACAGCCTGTCACTTTCATCAATGCCTCATACAGCATGTCACTATCATCAATGTCTTATACAGCCTGTCATTGTCATCAATGCCCCATACAGCATGTCACTGTCATCAATGCCCTATACAGCATGTCACTGTCATCAATGCCCCATACAGCATGTCACTGTCATCAATGTCCTATACAGCATGTCACTGTCATCAATGCCCCATACAGCATGTCACTGTCATCAATGTCCTATACAGCATGTCACTGTCATCAATGTCCTATACAGCATGTCACTATCATCAATGCCCCATACAACATGTCACTGTCATCAATGTCCTATACAGCATGTCACAATCATCAATATCTTATACAGCCTGTCACTTTCATCAATGCCCTATACAGCATGTCACTGTCATCAATGTCCTACACCAGCCTGTCACTGTCATCAATGTCCTATACAGCATGTCACTGTCATCAATGTCCTATACAGCATGTCACTATCATCAATATCTTATACAGCCTGTCACTTTCATCAATGCCCTATACAGCATGTTACTGTCATCAATGCCCCATACAGCATGTCACTGTCATCAATGTCCTATACAGCATGTCACTGTCATCAATGTCCTATACAGCATGTCACCTTCATCAATGCCCCATACAGCATGTCACTGTCACCAATGTCCTATACAGCCTGTCACTGTCATCAATGTCCTATACAGCATGTCACTGTCATTAATGCCTCATACAGCATGTCACTGTCATCAATGCCCCATACAGCATGTCACTGTCATCAATGTCCTATACAGCCTGTCACTGTCATCAATGTCCTATACAGCATGTCACTATCATCAATGTCCTTTTCAGCCTGTTAGTATCATCAATGTCCTATACAGCCTGTCACTGTCATCAATGTCCTATTCAGCATGTCACTATCATCAATGCCCCATACAGCATGTCACTGTCATCAATATCTTATACAGCCTGTCACTGTCATCGATGTCCTAGACAGCATGTCACTATCATCAATGCCCCATACAGCATGTCACTGTCATCAATGTCCTATACAGCATGTCACTATCATCAATGCCCCATACAGCATGTCACTGTCATCAATATCTTATACAGCCTGTCACTATCATCAATGCCCTATACAGCATGTCACTATCATCAATGCCCCATACAGCATGTCACTATCATCAATGCCCCATACAGCATGTCACTGTCATCAATGTCCTATACAGCATGTCACTGTAATCAATGCCCTATACAGCATGTCACTATCATCAATGCCCCATACAGCATGTCACTATCATCAATGCCCCATACAGCATGTCACTTTCATCAATGTCCTATTCAGCCTGTTAGTATCATCAATGTCCTATACAGCCTGTCACTGTCATCAATGTCCTATACCTAGCCATGATGTTGACGCCTACCTTCTTAGTAAAACTGTGCAGGATGCTGAGACACTTGTCATGTTCATTGCCTGAACCAAAGGTGTTGAAGAGGACACTAGGCCAGTACCATGGAGACCTCATGCGTTTCAGTAGAATAGTGCTCATCCTGACAAACATTAGCAGCAGAGGTAAACATAATGTGTTGAGCAGCAGCATCTAAGATCCCAGGTTCAAGGCTCTTGTCTGAGAGATTAGTTTGGGTCACATGTGTATCCTAATAACATACATTTATACCTTGTGTTTTATTTGAGAAAGATAATTCATGCTGGTACAATAAGAATATAAAGGGCTGTGGCATAAGAACCTTTCAGCATGGTTAGTGCAATACACCTCGTTGAATAGCCTCACATAGAACCATGCATACACACCATATACTCACTTGTATACTGCACTGACATATGCAGAGTCACTATTACTCTGAGCATTAATGTTTCGCCCCATTGCTGTCTCTGGAATAGAAACATAACCACAATAACTTGACAGAGACACAGCAACAGGGAAATGCATACGTTTACAGTTGGTTGTGTCACTGTGGGCATACAAGGCAGCCTACTGTATTATAATATACTATGAAAGGAGTGATACAAGGATATGTGCGCTCAGATTAGTTTCAGCAATATGACACCCCAGGAGGGTGTGTCGGGGCTGTGCCATTAGGCACCCAATACTCCACGCATGGTGGTCGCTGAGGCCAACTGAATGAGGTGGCTGCTGGGTATCAACTCACTTTCAGATGAGTAACCACTTAACGTGATGTGGCTAACTGGACTGTTCTCAACCACTGGTTTATCAGATCAAGCCTGGATTACCAAAAAGCCACTGTGACTTAGCCGCAATATTGCTGTGTGAATCAATGATTCCCCAGCCACCACCCTGGGCGTACACTTGTAGTTGGGAGCTCCCCATGGTTTCCACTCATGGACCAAACCAGTCCACTCACCACAGATGATGTCCAGAGCACATAGGGTGATATCTGGGAAGATGTTGAATGGCTTGCTTCCAACCTTGGACCTTAATTTCTCCTTCAGTATTTGAGCCTGCTCATTGAACACCAAGACAAAATCTGTCAGGATCTTGAAGTGAAATGTCGGTGTGAGCATCTTGCGTCGCCCATGCCATTTCTTCCCTGTGCTGTGACAAATAGAAATGCCACCTTAATGTTCAAACTACTTTTGCTTCATATATTCACAAAGTGAAGATACTTATGATTACTAATATTGTTAACAATTTTAAGAATGCTGCTGCTCCATTAATGTACTTCCTGAGAAAATCGAAACAAGCGTATAGTCGACGAAGTCATCTATATCCCCCGCCATTTAAACACGTTATGGTCCCAAACCAGGTAACTGACCCAACATTCTCTTAGGCCATGTCAAAATAGCTGCAATGGAAATTCTAAAATAAACACTTACAAAACTCCTTAATATCAAATGGCACCAGTTCAGTATGTGCTTTATATATAGACATGCAATGTTTGACAAGGAAATGTTAAACAGTTTTTGAGTTATGCTCCAGAAACGAACACCACCCTTGTTGAACCTAAGTCCAACTTGTTGCCATGGAAACGTAAAACATAAAAATTCATAAAACTCCTAAATAGCAAAAGGCACCAGTTCAGTATGTGTCTGGTAAACATTCAAAGTTTTGTAAGAAAGTATTTCATGGTTTATGAGTCACGCTCCAAAACAACAAGCACCCTTGTAGAACCTAAGTCCAATTTTTTGCCATGGAAACGTAAAAAATAAATATTTATAAAACTCCTAAATAGCAAAAGGCACCAGTTCAGTATGTGTCTGGTAAACATGCAAAGTTTTGTAAGGAATTATTTAACGGTTTTTGAGTTACGCTCCGGAAACAAACAGCACCCTTATAGAACCTAAGTCCAACTTGTTGCCATGGAAACGTAAAAAATAAAAATGTATAAAATTTCTAAATAGCAAAAAGCACCAGTTCAGCATGAGTCTGATAGACATGCAAAGTTTCGCAGAGAAATATTTAACGGTTTCTGAGTTATGCTCCGGAAACGATTTCGGGACGCACACACGCACACACGCACACACACACGCACGCACTCACACACACACACACGGACGAAACCCATTTCTATATCCCCCGCCAACTTTGTTGGGGCGGGGGATAAAAAGAAGAGTTTGGAACCTAAGTCCATCTTGCTGCCATGGAAACGTAAAAAATAAAAATTTCTTAAATTTCTAAATAGCAAAAGGCACCAGTTCAGCATGTACCTGACAGACCTGCAAAGTTTGATGAAAAAATATTGAACGGTTTATAAGTTATGCTCCGGAAACGAACCCTACCCTCACAGAACCCAAGTCCATCTTGTTGCCGTGAAAACGTAAAAAAAAAAAAATTCTAAAATTTCTAAATAGCAAAAGGCACCAGTTCAGAATGTACCTGACAGATCTGCAAAGTTTGATGAAAAAATATTGAACGGTTTATGAGTGATGCTCCGGAAACGAACCCTACCCTCACAGAACCTAAGTCCATCTTGTTGCCATGGAAACGTAAAAAATAAAAAATTCTAAAATTTCTAAATAGCAAAAGGCACCAGTTCAGAATGTACCTGACAGATCTGCAAAGTTTGATGAAAAAATATTGAACGGTTTATAAGTTATGCTCCGGAAACGAACCCTACCCTCACAGAACCCAAGTCCATCTTGTTGCCGTGAAAACGTAAAAAATAAAAAATTCTAAAATTTCTAAATAGCAAAAGGCACCAGTTCAGCTATACCTGACAGACCTGCAAAGTTTGATGAAAAAATATTGAACGGTTTATGAGTTATGCTCCAGAAACAAACCCTACCCTCACAGAACCCAAGTCCATCTTGTTGCCGTGAAAACGTAAAAAATAAAAAATTCTAAAATTTCTAAATAGCAAAAGGCACCAGTTCAGCTATACCTGACAGACCTGCAAAGTTTGATGAAAAAATATTGAACGGTTTATAAGTTATGCTCCGGAAACAAACCCTACCCTCACAGAACCTAAGTCCATCTTGTTGCCGTGAAAACGTAAAAAATAAAAAAAATTTAAAATTTCTAAATAGCAAAAGGCACCAGTTCAGCTATACCTGACAGACCTGCAAAGTTTGATGAAAAAATATTGAACGGTTTATAAGTTATGCTCCGGAAACGAACCCTACCCTCACAGAACCCAAGTCCATCTTGTTGCCGTGAAAACGTAAAAAATAAAAAATTCTAAAATTTCTAAATAGCAAAAGGCACCAGTTCAGCTATACCTGACAGACCTGCAAAGTTTGATGAAAAAATATTGAACGGTTTATAAGTTATGCTCCGGAAACGAACCCTACCCTCACAGAACCCAAGTCCATCTTGTTGCCGTGAAAACGTAAAAAATAAAAAATTCTAAAATTTCTAAATAGCAAAAGGCACCAGTTCAGAATGTACCTGACAGATCTGCAAAGTTTGATGAAAAAATATTGAACGGTTTATGAGTGATGCTCCGGAAACGAACCCTACCCTCACAGAACCTAAGTCCATCTTGTTGCCATGGAAACGTAAAAAATAAAAATTCTAAAATTTCTAAATAGCAAAAAGCACCAGTTCAGCATGTACCTGACAGACCTGCAAAGTTTGATGAAAAAATATTGAACGGTTTATGAGTTATGCTCAGGAAATGAAACGTGACGGACGGACGGAGCCCGTTTCTATATCCCCCGCCAACTTTGTTGGGCGGGGGATAAAAATTAAAAAGAATCATTGTTAAATGAGGTATTGCATTTACTTGATCAATTGTTATTTGCTGATACTTATGAGGCCAGGGTGAGGAGTGTTGTAGTCCATGCTAAAATCACTCTTCTCATATGTATTTACAAACATTTAGAACATGTAGAACTGGTTGATTCTACAGCTGGGACAGGTAACTTGGGTATTCGGGTCGGGTGGGTCCTGAGTAGGACCCGGGTACCTACAGGACTACCCGAACCCGTGGTTAATCACGTGATATATTGTTTAATGACAAAAATTATCTAGAACTCTATGGTTACACTTTAAGTGACTAATGTTTGCATTCTATCTGACTATATATGTATGAATAAAGATAAAACTTCAGTCAACTTCAGTTTATGCATGACGTGTATCTAAAAACATTTTGCCAGAGCTAAAGTCAAACTATTCCCAGTCGGACATTAGAACCTATCTCTTGAGAACTACAGCGATAGCCCAGGTAGGGTTGGGTAATAGGGGGATGGGTAACCGGGAAGAAAATCTGGACTTGTCCCAGCCCTAGTTGATTCATATGTTTAAATCACTTTTATGTACTTTACCTCAGCATTTAACAGTATTCAACCCCTTCTCTGAATGAAAAAACTCATGGATATGGCAATCACCTGGAATATGTTGAAAACAGTTTCTTGTCAACAAATCACCATTTGTTTCTGTGAAAGGAGCTTGGTCATATTTTGAGTACATCTCTACTGGAGTAGTTTTGCCTTTTTTCATTTCCTACTAATGATTGTTGCAGAGTTGGAAATGATTGCTTCCTTGTTTTAAGGGACTCTCAATTAATGTGATCTTATCTCCTATCTTGGAGCAACCCACCTCGTGAGAAGTCCAGTCCCCAGCCAGGGATGCAGGAAGCGATACATGAATGCCTTGTCTATGTGCTTGGTGCTGTTGAGTATCACCTACAACACAGTGAAACAATCAGATGGAGAGGGTGTGAGTCAGTCAATAGGTGGTGAGTGGATGGTTTGTAATGTCAGCAGTGAAATAACAATCACCTTCACCTCCAGAAGAGTAGGTGTGTGAGTCAGTTAGTACGTGGTGAGTGGATGGTTTGTAATGTCAGCAGTGAAATAACAATCACCTTCACCTCCAGAAGAGTACCTGTGTGAGTCAGTCAATAGGTGGTGAGTGGATGGTTTGTAATGTCAGCAGTGAAATAAAAATCACCTTCACCTCCAGAAGAGTAGGTGTGTGAGTCAGTCAATAGGTGAGTGGATGGTTTGTAATGTCAGCAGTGAAATAACAAACACCTTCACCTCCAGAAGAGTAGGTGTGTGAGTCAGTCAATAGGTGAGTGGATGTTTTGTAATGTGAGCAGTGAAATAACAATCACCTTCACCTCCAGAAGAGTAGGTATGTGAGTCAGTCAATAGGTGAGTGGATGGTTTGTAATGGCAGCAGTGAAATAACAATCACCTTCACCTCCAGAAGAGTAGGTGTGTGAGTCAGTCAATAGGTGGTGAGTGGATGGTTTGAAATGTCAGCAGTTAAATAACAATCACCTTCACCTCCAGAAGAGTAGGTATGTGAGTCAGTCAATAGGTGAGTGGATGGTTTGTAATGGCAGCAGTGAAATAACAATCACCTTCACCTCCAGAAGAGTAGATGTGTGAGTCAGTCAGTAGGTGAGTGGATGGTTTGAAATGTCAGCAGTGAAATAACAATCATCTTCACCTCCAGAAGAGTAGATGTGTAAGTCAGTCAGTAGGTGGTCAGTGGATGGTTTGTAACGTCAGCAGTGAAATAACAATCACATTCACCTCCAGAAGAGTAGATGTGTGAGTCAGTCAATAGGTGAGTGGATAGTTTGTAATGGCAGCAGTGAAATAACAATCACCTTCACCTCCAGAAGAGTAGATGTGTGAGTCAGTCAATAGGTGAGTGGATGGTTTGTAATGTCAGCAGTGAAATAACAATCATCTTCACCTCCAGAAGAGTAGATGTGTAAGTCAGTTAGTAGGTGGTGAGTGGATGGTTTGTAATGGCAGCAGTGAAATAACAATCACCTTCACCTCCAGAAGAGTAGGTGTGTGAGTCAGTCAGTAGGTGGTGAGTGGATGGTTTGAAATGTCAGCAGTGAAATAACAATCACCTTCATCTCCATAAGAGTAGATGTGTAAGTCAGTCAGTAGGTGGTCAGTGGATGGTTTGTAATGTCAGCAGTGAAATAACAATCACATTCACCTCCAGAAGAGTAGATGTGTGAGTCAGTCAATAGGTGAGTGGATAGTTTGTAATGGCAGCAGTGAAATAACAATCACCTTCACCTCCAGAAGAGTAGATGTGTGAGTCAGTCAATAGGTGAGCGGATGGTTTGTAATGTCAGCAGTGAAATAACATTCACCTTCACATCCAGAAGAGTAGATGTGTGAGTCAGTCAGTAGGTGGTAAGTGGATGGTTTGTAATGTCAGCAGTGAAATAACAATCATCTTCACCTCCAGAAGAGTAGATGTGTGAGTCAGTCAATAGGTGAGTGGATGGTTTGTAATGTCAGCAGTGAAATAACAATCACCTTCACCTCCAGAAGAGTAGGTGTGTGAGTCAGTCAATAGGTGAGTGGATGGTTTGTAATGTCAGCAGTGAAATAACAATCACCATCACCTCCAGAAGAATAGGTGTGTGAGTCAGTCGGTAGGTGGTGAGTGGATGGTTTGTAATGTCAGCAGTGAAATAACAATCACCTTCACCTCCAGAAGAGTAGGTGTGTGAGTCAGTCAATAGGTGAGTGGATGGTTTGTAATGTCAGCAGTGAAATAACAATCACCTTCACCTCCAGAAGAGTAGATGTGTGAGTCAGTCAATAGGTGCTGAGTGGATGGTTTGTAATGTCAGCAGTGAAATAACAATCACATTCACCTCAAGAAGAGTAGGTATGTGAGTCAGTCAATAGGTGAGTGGATGTTTTGTAATGTCAGCAGTGAAATAACAATCACCTTCACCTCCAGAAGAGTAGTTGTGTGAGTCAGTCAATAGGTGAGTGGAGAGTTTGTAATGTCAGTAGTGAAAAAACAATCACCTTCACCTCCAGAAGAGTAGGTGTGTGAGTCAGTTAATAGGTGAGTGGATGTTTTGTAATGTGAGCAGTGAAATAACAATCACCTTCACCTCCAGAAGAGTAGGTGTGTGAGTCAGTCAATAGGTGAGTGGATGGTTTGAAATGTGAGCAGTGAAATAACAATCACCTTCACCTCCAGAAGAGTAGATGTGTGAGTCAGTCAATAGCTGGTGAGTGGATGGTTTGTAATGTCAGCAGTGAAATAACAATCACCTTCATCTCCAGAAGAGTAGGTGTGTGAGTCAGTTAGTAGGTGGTGAGTGGATGGTTTGTAATGTCAGCAGTGAAATAACAATCATCTTCACCTCCAGAAGAGTAGATGTGTGAGTCAGTCAATAGGTGAGTGGATGGTTTGTAATGTAAGCAGTGAAATAACAATCACCTTCACCTCCAGAAGAGTAGGTGTGTGAGTCAGTCAATAGGTGAGTGGATGGTTTGTAATGTCAGCAGTGAAATAACAATCACCTTCACCTCCAGAAGAGTAGGTATGTGAGTCAGTCAATAGGTGAGTGGATGTTTTGTAATGTCAGCAGTGAAATAACAATCACCTTCACCTCCAGAAGAGTAGTTGTGTGAGTCAGTCAATAGGTGAGTGGAGAGTTTGTAATGTCAGTAGTGAAAAAACAATCACCTTCACCTCCAGAAGAGTAGGTGTGTGAGTCAGTTAATAGGTGAGTGGATGTTTTGTAATGTGAGCAGTGAAATAACAATCACCTTCATCTCCAGAAGAGTAGGTATGTGAGTCAGTCAATAGGTGAGTGGATGGTTTGTAATGGCAGCAGTGAAATAACAATCATCTTCACCTCCAGAAGAGTAGGTGTATGAGTCAGTCAATAGGTGAGTGGATGTTTTGTAATGTCAGCAGTGAAATAACAATCACCTTCACCTCCAGAAGAGTAGGTGTGTGAGTCAGTCAATAGGTGAGTGGATAGTTTGAAATGTGAGCAGTGAAATAACAATCACCTTCACCTCCAGAAGAGTAGATGTGTGAGTCAGTCAATAGGTGGTGAGTGGATGGTTTGTAATGTCAGCAGTGAAATAAGAATCACCTTCATCTCCAGAAGAGTAGGTGTGTGAGTCAGTTAGTAGGTGGTGAGTGGATGGTTTGTAATGTCAGCAGTGAAATAACAATCATCTTCACCTCCAGAAGAGTAGATGTGTGAGTCAGTGAATAGGTGAGTGGATGGTTTGTAATGTCAGCAGTGAAATAACAATCACCTTCACCTCCAGAAGAGTAGGTGTGTGAGTCAGTCAGTAGGTGGTAAGTGGATGGTTTGTAATGTCAGCAGTGAAATACCAATCATCTTCATCTCCAGAAGAGTAGATGTGTGAGTCAGTCAATAGGTGAGTGGATGGTTTGTAATGTCAGCAGTGAAATAACAATCACCTTCACCTCCAGAAGAGTAGGTGTGTGAGTCAGTCAATAGGTGAGTGGATGGTTTGTAATGTCAGCAGTGAAATAACAATCACCATCACCTCCAGAAGAATAGGTGTGTGAGTCAGTCGGTAGGTGGTGAGTGGATGGTTTGTAATGTCAGCAGTGAAATAACAATCACCTTCACCTCCAGAAGAGTAGGTGTGTGAGTCAGTCAATAGGTGAGTGGATGGTTTGTAATGGCAGCAGTGAAATAACAATCACCATCACCTCCAGAAGAATAGGTGTGTGAGTCAGTCAGTAGGTGGTGAATGGATGGTTTGAAATGTCAGCAGTGAAATAACAATCATCTTCACCTCCAGAAGAGTAGATGTGTAAGTCAGTCAGTAGGTAGTCAGTGGATGGTTTGTAATGTCAGCAGTGAAATAACAATCACATTCACCTCCAGAAGAGTAGATGTGTGAGTCAGTCAATAGGTGAGTGGATAGTTTGTAATGGCAGCAGTGAAATAACAATCACCTTCACCTCCAGAAGAGTAGATGTGTGAGTCAGTCAATAGGTGAGTGGATGGTTTGTAATGTCAGCAGTGAAATAACAATCACCTTCACCTCCAGAAGAGTAGATGTGTAAGTCAGTTAGTAGGTGGTGAGTGGATGGTTTGTAATGGCAGCAGTGAAATAACAATCACCTTCACCTCCAGAAGAGTAGGTGTGTGAGTCAGTCAGTAGGTGGTGAGTGGATGGTTTGAAATGTCAGCAGTGAAATAACAATCACCTTCATCTCCATAAGAGTAGATGTGTAAGTCAGTCAGTAGGTGGTCAGTGGATGGTTTGTAATGTCAGCAGTGAAATAACAATCATCTTCACCTCCAGAAGAGTAGATGTGTGAGTCAGTCAATAGGTGAGTGGATGGTTTGTAATGTCAGCAGTGAAATAACAATCACCTTCACATCCAGAAGAGTAGATGTGTGAGTCAGTCAGTAGGTTGTAAGTGGATGGTTTGTAATGTCAGCAGTGAAATAACAATCATCTTCACCTCCAGAAGAGTAGATGTGTGAGTCAGTCAATAGGTGAGTGGATGGTTTGTAATGTCAGCAGTGAAATAACAATCACCTTCACCTCCAGAAGAGTAGGTGTGTGAGTCAGTCAATAGGTGAGTGGATGGTTTGTAATGTCAGCAGTGAAATAACAATCACCATCACCTCCAGAAGAATAGGTGTGTGAGTCAGTCGGTAGGTGGTGAGTGGATGGTTTGTAATGTCAGCAGTGAAATAACAATCACCTTCACCTCCAGAAGAGTAGGTGTGTGAGTCAGTCAATATGTGAGTGGATGGTTTGTAATGTCAGCAGTGAAATAACAATCACCTTCACCTCCAGAAGAGTAGATGTGTGAGTCAGTCAATAGGTGCTGAGTGGATGGTTTGTAATGTCAGCAGTGAAATAACAATCACATTCACCTCAAGAAGAGT